CAGCTTGCTGTACTGTTCAACTGCTTGGAACTAGGGAAATTTCACATAGCTTCAAATTTCCAATCAATACTTAGATCTAAATGTAGAAGCAACAGAAGCTCTCTCTCAGGATCCTTTGGGACAAATAAAACAGAGCAACTGGCGTATGGGATGTGTCTGTGGATGGCTGCTCAGCCCAAACTGTAAGTAAAATCAGGTATACCATAAAACATCCAAGGGAAGCAGGCTACGCATGTCAGAGGCTGTAAGCTAAAACAAAAGAACAGGATTTTCTGCAAAGGACAGGTGGTCAGAGAGCAGGCTGTTTTCTCAGAGCCAAGACACAAGACCTCACTTTAAGACTGGACAGGTTTCTGAATTTGACAACAGGGGATCCAGTGGTGGTGGTGCTTATTATTAAATGCTACCGCATCATGAGATCTCTCGCAGAGCATAGGCTGCTTATGGAACTCAGAAAGGGAGCAGGAGAGGAATGACAAAGCCATCTTCTCCAAGCTCTTTCCAGGCCCCATGATCAAACGACAAGAGACAGAACATTCTTGGAGCAAACTTCTGGCAAGATCAGCAATGGAAGATTTGGGTTTTGTGGAGCACAGATCCATGGACTACGGAAAGAAGAAGCTAGTCAGCTGGAAGGCCTTCAGCTCATAAACAAAGTCAAGCTCTCGAGGAGAGGCTGATAAAAGCATCGAGCATACAACTAAAAGAGCAGCCACAGCTTTGGTGCAAGTACTCATGACATGAGTTCATGCGTTACTGGTCCAAACCAGTAACACATAACTGTTGCTTTAAAAAGACCAACTCCATACAGTCAAATTGACTGGGAGAAAGAATACAATAAAAATATGGTCACTGGGAATTTTGTAAGAAAAAGTTATGGATTTTCAGTTGGACGGGTTTTGGCTAAAAAGGACCTAATAAAATGATGTTATTTAGCAGGGAAGCAGAAACAGTTAAGAAAGACAGAAGTACTGTAACAAGAGGAAGCTCATGGCAATGAACAGAAAAATCAGAAGCTAGAAACTGTATTAAGTTGATAATAGAAGCAATAGGAAAACATCCATACAGCAGTGAAGGACAAGTATATTAGGAAAATTCCAAAATTGGTATTAGTCGATTACTACAGAGAGATGAAAAGAATAATAATACAGAAAAAAAATAATTCAGGAACGCATTATTATTAATGTATAATTAATTAATTAATATGTATTATTGCAATATTATTATTTTGTATTTGGAAAAAACACAGGTGAAACAGCCCTGTGACAGGATGATGAACCATTCCATTCCAGTACTAAAGGTCGAGGATTCCCATGCAACTCTGACCAGCAGGATTAGCCTGATCCTTGGATCTATAAACATGCCCAGTAGAAATACAGAGATTATATTTCTCCATTACTTGGCACTGCAGTGATCATTGTGGAATACTGTGTCCAGTTCTCATGTCCACTAGTAAAAAGGGATATGGATAAGCTGGAAAGGGTTCAGACCAAGAAGCATGAGTGATTAAAGGATTGTAAAAACACCTTACAGTGAAAGACTCAAGGAACTTAATCTGTTCATCTTATCAAACAGTTAAGAGACATTTAAGAAGTGGCTTGTTCTGTCTGCTAGTACATTTGTAGGAAACAAAAGATTGATAAAAAACGGTTCTTCATTCTAGCAGACAAAAATATAACAAGACTCAACAGCTTAAAAAGTGGAAGCTAAGTGCAATTTTTTAAACCTGACAGTAACTAATCAGAGGAACAACTTACAAATAGTAGATTCTCCATCACTGAACAATGTTAAATGAAGATTAAAATCTATATATTCCATGAGCAGTGAATACTGATAAAAAGACCTGCTTACAAGGGTCTCACTTTAATGTGCGTTTACTTTGGTCAGAACATTTTCACTCAGTCTACATGTGCCTTGAACTGCGCATTTCGTATTACGCAGTCATCTGGCGATAGCATCTCATGTAAATGCGACCACTGTGACCATAACCAAGGTCTCAATGTGTGCATTTGTATACTGGCAACAGAAGCAAGCCTCCGCTGGTTAAATCTCTGAAATAAAGTGCAATTATACTGCCCCCTCACCCACCAGCATATGGCAACAGCTTAAATGAAAAATGTATTATTCTGCAAGTAATTCTTTGGATGCACCGTAATTAAAAAGCCCCATCTAAATCCATTCCAGACTGGCAAAGTGAGGGTTTTTGTAATTTAATTTAAAAGCACTTCAAGTAGTTTAGTACACCCTTCTGCAAAGGGAGCCATAAATCCCTTTATTATGATAAAACAAAATAGTAAAATTAGTCCAAACTCAAAATGATAAAAAGATTATGAGAGCTATAGTGCAATTCCATAGTCAGAGATCACAAATTTAATCGGCTACCTTTTATTGTATGCATGAATGAAAACTATGGAAAACAGGTCTCCCAAACCTTGACTGGAATCTCAGAGCATTATTTTAAGGCTAAATATACATTAATGCATGCCTATGGCAACAGGGGGGTGAGGTGGAACCCAAAAAATTATTTAATTCACCTCCAGTAGAATTACTTATACCCTGAGCATTTTACAGACAAAAGCATGTGGCCTTTATTAGCAGCTTACAATCTAGTCGTGGAGATAACCGTGACAACACCGTTGTCTTCCTGCATATACAGAGCTCCAGTCTCTTTATAGCTCCCGCTGTTTGACAAAGGCCAATTCCTATGCAATAAAAATCTCATGTTTCATAGATTGCCATTTGTTAGCCATGCCACAACTTATATTTGTTCAACCTAATTCTTAGCAAAAGGAAGCTAGGCGTAGAATATAGATTTCTTTTCTCCCCACCTACAGCTGAAATAGCAAGAAGCTGGCAGGAATAGCAGCAAAAAATTGCTCAGAAGGGTCTGTATGAAGGAAGGGAAACGTTCTTTTCCCTTCAAATAATTAGACCAGTGTGAAGCTTATAAAAAGACATGTAAGAGATGGAAACTCATAAAAAAGAAAGAGTCCCAAAGACAACATCAAAGGGCATCTCCTTGGTAAGAGAGCCCCACACTTTCCCTCTTCCTACCAGCTGGGCTTCTCATGACAGCATGAGACCCATGACTAGCAGATTTAGTCCTCCAGCTAGTAATCACCCAGTACATTTTCTCCAAACACTGCAATCTAATAAATAACAGCATACAAGTTGTACCTGCAACACCTGCACACAAGAATGGGCAACACCACTTGCACTTACTAGGCCTAACAGCCTTCTCATTCCACCTCTGGCAACAGCCATTAGGATAAGCTTGATAGAATCATAGAAAATTACGGTTGGAAGGGACCTCAGGTTGTCTAGTTCTAATCCAAATTTGGCCTAGAAAAAGAATGCAATTTTTTAACAGGGAAATTAATCATTAGTCAGGGTTGTAATGGAATCATCCTCACTCAACGTGGCTTAAAATAAAATCAGATTTGCTTTCTAAAAAATATAATCTAGTTCAATTGTAGCCATTGGACTTGAATGGGAATCAACTCAGACAAGTCCTATGGGTTCTGTTGTGCAGATAGAGATTATATGGTCACCAGGGTTCCTTCCAGCCTCAATTTGTTTTTAATGAATTTATGACTTAGAATGTTTGTATAGTGCCTAGTTACTGGTGGTACCTTGATATGAAAACCCCAGTTCCCTGCTTTGCATATACAAATGCAAGTTGTCCATTAGCAATGAATGCTAAAATTGCAAAAGACAAAATACCATCCTTAGAAAAACTTAGCTCTACACTTGCAGGGTAGACATGGATACACATAGGAATATAACTCCCTGGGATGCTTTGTTTTCACTACTGGAATGCTACCATTGCTTAAGCTTTACAGAAAAATCTAGAAACAAGGGCAAAAATCGGTTAACTCTTTAAAAAACTAATAATGAACTGCTCAACACATTGCAAAGTTAACTGCCAAAAGTGCAGGAACAGAAAAGAAGGCAGCTGCACAGCAATGGTAGTTTGGGCGGGGGGTTGGCACAAAACATGATGTAGATTTCTGGAAGTTATAGTTGGCAAATGCTCCTACCCAACTGACTCTCCTCTGCTAGATGACAGATGAAACATTTTAAGTCATACCAATTATTAATTTTCTCTCTAAGCGCTTATTTAAAGAAAGTGAAAAGCCACCAACTGCTGCAGCTTCCTTAGCCTGACGAAAGGTTTTTGAACCCGAAAGCTTGCTTAATACCTATTCTCCAACCATTTGGGTTGGTCTAATAAAAGATATCAAATTCACCCAAGGAACCTTGTCTGCCTATATCCTTAGACCAACACGGCTACAACCTAAACCCCTACAGCTCGGGAGATACGTTTGTCCAAATGCTACAAAGGAGCAAAAAGCTCCCAAAAATGACAGCAAGAGGTGGTATTTCTGCCCTCTTCGGTCCACTTTGTGCATTCCAGGATCATTAGCATTTGCAAAGGAAGTGACAAAGGGATGCTGGATTACTGCACAAGCCGGTATCAACAAATCCCCTAGGAACCAAGACCCGCTCAAGAATAAAAAAAATAACACTCCATCAAAATGCAATTCACTCTGAAAAGCAACTCCACAAAAATGGCTTTATTCCACAAAGCCATTTCCTGGGTATTCAGGTTCAGGGCCTCAAACTATCATCAAATAATGCTGTCACTGCACTGTTTTATTTGTTTGCATTGCAGAATCAGCACAGTTGAAAGCAGGAAGGGTGATTACCCATGTTACTGTGGGGATAATTTGGTCTACAGAATCTTTTTTTCTCATGCATCATATCAGAAGCAAAGTTTGGCTTTCAGGCTAGAATCTCATTTTGGAGAGCTGGAAGTTCAGGGAAGGAGGAAGGAAGCTTATTTCATGCAGAACTCAGGGAGATGCAATAAATATAGAACTCCAAAATGCATTTCATGGTCACTTTTCAGAAAGAACAGCAGTAAAATCTTTAAAAGGAATTTAGAATCTCTTGATCCGGTTAAAAAAAAAAAAATCATCTGAGAGAACTGTACTTACGGCTGAGTGAAGTCACGAGTAATGAAATCTGAACTCTTTAAGAGTAGGAAGATGTCACTGAGGGTTTTGCACTTCAGAGAACTATTCATTGCTATCCAGTAGGCATCCTAAAAACAAACGGATATTAGCAAAATACCATTTTTACTATCAGTCATCAACAAAGAAGGTAAGTTACAGTCTGACACCTGAATACTGCTTGCACCTTTGAAAAAGATAAGCAGGACTAAAATGATGGGCAACCGATTTTGGCAAGAGTTTCTTCACTCGTCCTCGATACAAGACCTGTTGCAGCAGGTCTTTGCTCATAGGATCCTCACAGAATTGAACGCGAGCCAGTTAACAGGGCTCAGCCTTCTCTTCCATCTCTACCATCTTTAGCCTAGTTAACCATTAAAAGGATTCTCTAGAAAGATTTTTTTCTTGTATTGACTCATGCCAATGTATGTTTTACATTTTTTGTATTTCCCTTTTCATAAGTGCTACGTGGCTACCAGCCAGAATTTTTTTCTGGCACCATGGTATTTATGCTATGCTATTTCTTTCAAGGTGAGCATATACAATGAGAAAATGATATAAAAAGTGCGTGGTGATATTGCTGAACTTGCTCCATATGAAGAACTGTGCCACAATATACTGGTAATATAGATTTTATGTTGCTGATTGATTAGGATTGCAAAAGACCAGAATCAATAAACCTTCTGAGCTGCCCTGGACTGGATTCTGAAATCTTATCCATAAACTATGAATAATCAACACAAGGCTTATCTAAACATTAACAGGATGAAGAAATCATGTCATACCCAGATAAAATTATTTTGTTAAAACAGGCAGCAAGCAGAAGGGTGGAGAAAACAACTCTCTCCCCCGCAATGCGTAAATAATGGGGAACAAAAATGCAAAGCAGGGGATCTTGCTGATCAGTTAAATCATATTTAGATTTCTACAGGAAAAACAAGTGTCACATTATTAACCAGGACTTTAATCTCAGAGTACAGCATAATACATCAGAGATTCTTGGCATGTTGTACATCTTCTTGACCAAGGTTTCATGACATTTTATTTTCCTTAGGAAAAAAGTTATCTTGCCAGCTGAAGAGTTAAATATTTGAGAAACTTCTCATATTAATTCCAGCTCATAAAGCACTTTGAGCACAACGTGATCCCTGCCTACTTCACTGGCTCAGATAAGATAATGCCCTGGACAGCACTGCTGCATCAAAACACTCTGCAGTACCTCACTCCACTGAGAACTCAGTTACTGCATTGCCAATGATTGGTGCAGTCACCCTCCACCACCTCCTAGACATCCAAAATGAATGATTAAAAACAAAGACTGTTAAAACTCTTTTATTGTTTTTACCCTTGGAGCACTCCAGTTGAGTTTAGGAAAAACACTGCCTCCAAGGGAACTGATTGCTTCTTGAACTTTAAGTGCAAATTCAGGAAATTCTGGTGCCTGAAGAGAAGAATAGAAGATAATTTCAATACATGTAATATGAAAGCCAGGTAGTTTTAGAAATATAAGCAGGACTATAAATCATAGCTGGAATAACCTCAAGATTTTAAAAATAAAAGTATTTTCTTTCTGGTACTTGAACCTTATCATTCCTGTTTTCAAGCTTGTCTCTGCAAAAATGAGAGCTAAAAACATATTTGTTTTTAAAATGAAAGGTCACATTCTCACTAAATAGCCTAATTGCTGGAGCTGAGGTTTAGGAAACAAAATACTGCAAATACATAGTCATGATAAAAATCATGAAAGCTGGCAACTTTGCAAGTTAAACAAATAAGCAGCTACTAAATGAGACACCTATAGTTTAGACCCAGTCAAACTGCACACAAATAAGGTTTGACAAAAGTTATTTTCTTAATGGTTTTAGATGTTTCAAACAGAAATAGTCCTTTTGTATAACATTAGACATTCCCCTGAAAAGACTGCAGCCCAAAAATGTAACTTTATGCCAAGCTAATATGCAAGTAGAAAGGGAAATTATTTTAAAAAGCCAAGAATGATAGATCTAATTTCAGTTTAGAAATGATGAGTGCAAAAGTACATGGACCAATTCAGTAACAAGATATGAAACAGATCTTTAAAAAGTTCAGCTGTGCACAGCATTGTTATCACATTAACTGTATAAACACATCCGATTTTTTTGTGTCACATTAATTTAGCACCATTCCTTTAGAGACAAGAGTTGCAGGAAAGCCAATTCACACAAACCAAACCCCCAGTCTTGCAATCTATTCTGTGCTTAAAGTTAATGGGGCTTTGTATAATATGTCTACACGTATTGTCTACACACCACAATAATGTTACCTTGCATCAAGAAATAGACTGGCAGGAAACCTTAGGATTAGGGAGCGAATATGATGTTTGTTTAAAAATAAGAGGTTTGCAGTATATAATAAAACATGGAACGTAGAAAGCTGCTGCAAATACTACTAAGAAGAATGGCTAGCAAAGAGAAATGGAAGAAACCCCTGCCCTTTCTAAGAATATCAAAAAGCTTCCACACACGCATCAAAAGATTTTTCATCCTAAAGAATAAATAAATGATGTGACAGTAAATGGTATTTGGAGAATTCCAGTTCAGTGCTTTATGAAAACACAGTTCAACACAGCAGCTCGGGTAACTCCAATCTCCAAATGGCTGTAAGTAGTTCTCTTACATCTATGCAGTTATAAAACATTCTCAAATTTTGCAAGCAAAGCAGGCCAAGTCCTGTTCATTCACTGTAGCTCTGTGACAGCATGCTCAGCCCCTCTGCCTCATTCATACATTCAGTTTCTCTTAGGAGAGTAGCTCCTCTCCTGGGAGAAACCATGAGTGTACAGATGTTCAGGCTTTTTTTCCCCCCAAGAGTAAAAATGACCACTCCAAGAGAAAAAAAAAACAGGGATCAACCAGGAGAACTTCTCCTGGGAGGGTGAATGTCTGTACATGCTCAGAAGAGAACATAGTCCTTCAGCATAACCCTCACCCTAGGGAAATACGGTCTCACTTGCTGAACTACTGCTCCAGCACACACCCTTCAAAATTCCCATTTTGTGCTGCAGGGAAATGCAGGCTGACCAGGGCAGTGCACGTCAGCCAATCAGTGTTGTCCTATCTACTGCTGCCATCTGTCGCTAGGCAAACAAAGGGAGCCTGCAGAGCGTGCCAAGATGCATGTGCAGGGGGTCCCCCAGGCTGCAGTGTCAATACTGCAAGCTCTTCACTCTTCAAGGCCACATCCTTCAAATGTCTGTGCATGTAGCTCTGGGTACGTTTTTCTACTAGCAGAACAAACTTGGGAGAATTCTCCCAGATTACTTAAAAGTGTGTACATAGCCTCTGAGAATGACAGATACAGTCTGGGCAATACATAGGAGCTGTGATGTGATCGAAGATGGTCAGAGTGGATGGAATCTTTGACACAGGTGCACCGTTACACATCGGCCCATACTGGATCAGCACTGATATAGGGAAAATTGACAGCATCGGAAATTGGCTTTTTTTGCTTGATGTGGCTGATAAAGTGGCCAATAAGTGCCCCATGCATGTGCACAGCTGCAGTATAAACATGGCCAGGAGCACAGCCCAGCAGCATGGAGAGCAGCATCTCGCTTGCAAGTCTGTTGTGGCAGAAGGGTTGGGGAAGGAAGGGGCTGGGAAGAGCCCGGCAGAGCCCCAGCCTGCCCTGCCCTGTGCGCAGAACTGGGGGCACACCCCCCATGCCCTCCTGCGGTGCGCACAGCAGCAGGACCCTGCCCACTCCCTCCCTCCCTCCCTCCCTACCACGGGGGCCTCAATCTGCCCCCCCCATGCCCTTTCCCTCCCCCCACAAGACTTACCAACCTGACACTGGTCTCCAAGCTGCATATCAGAATTGGATCAGTATCGGCCAATAAGGCTCCTTAAAAAAAAAACCCGGCCACTGGTATCAGTCCAAAAAATCTCTATTGGTGCACCCCTAATCTTTGAAGTATTTAGCTACCAAATTAAACATACTGAACATTTAAAATTCGCTTTTCAGAGCCTCTAGGTTTGGCCAAATTTGGCAATATTTTTGCAGGAATGGCTAAAGGTACAATTTACTGCAATAATTAGTATCGTTGAGGCCAAAGTCCTATGAAGTCGATAATAGGTTCTGTCATGGATCCAGGAGGCCTTGATCAGGTCCTTTTTCCTTTTTATAAATTTCAGCTGAGATATTATAAAAGGATGGCCATAGTACCTGGCCCCCTCCAGTTCAGGCTTGAGGTACGATGACAGGCCATTACTGAGGAAGCTCTTGCTGGCAATGTGCCTCTGCTGCATAGCATCTGTACTGCAGATAGACAACTTAATCCAGGGCTGTCAGCCTGCCACCTTTCACTAACACTATATTTGATCTTTGCTGTCCTTGGGCAAATGTAAGATGCATATCTCACTCCTTTCTGCTTCAATACATTCCCTTCAAAGCCCATTCTCACAGACGGATTGCTTTGGGGGGGGGTTAAACAGCTTTCTTTTCTACGTAGTGGAATTCTCCGTCACATATTCCTTAAGCATTTATAGTGGCCGTGACAGCCACTGTTGCATAGCACAGAGCAGGGTTTAAGCTGCTTTGCCTGTCTTAAGACTGCAAGACAGGCAAAGCAGCTATTCCCACCCAAATCTTAGAAAGGCGGTTTGCTTGTAGAACTTCACAGTTTCTCCAAGTACTTTTTGTTTTAAAACCCCCCACCAAAAACCTTTGCAGTTCAGTTTTGAAGAGGCATTTGTCTCCTATCTTATAACTGTGTTTTATCTTACCTTTTCAAAACAGAAAAAAGCATGTCATTTCAACACTGTAGTTACCTCAGATACTTAAAGGAGTGCAAAAATGCCCCCAAATAATGTCACTGATTTGTCTAAAATTAATAAATTATGTAAGACATCTTGAGGGGAAGAAAAGGGAATGGTATACACACAAGATAGCCTGGTTCTCTGGAGGTCAGAAGAGAGAGGTCTTTTTCTATTGACTCTAGTGAGTCAGAATTATATACACCCAGTTTTATGTTGATATTTTTGAAGACCTTTCATAAATGTATAATGATTAATCCATTTTGTTTTAAGTGATGTAAGGAATTAAAATTATATAATAAAACATTTGAATATAGAATCAGATATAGCAACATCCAAACCATCAGTCCAAGTTCCAAATTACTGCCAACATAGAAAAGCCTAACCTTTGTAAGTCAGAATGTATATTGTTCTTGATCTTTGTAAAAGCTTTTTTTTTTTTTTTTAATAAGTTCTCTAACTTAATCTGGTAGAACCTGTTGTAACTGTAGAGAAAATAAGAATGTGAACTCTAATCCAGATCTTTGGCACAATCCTAAACTGGTAGAAACAAGAATATTTTAATTGAAGCCAGTGTAGCTGCACCAAGTTACATCTTTGCCTAACTACCGGCTAAAGCACTCCTTAAATGACTAATTGTGAGATTTGATTCAACAGCCTGATGCTGTTTACCTAGTGCTGTGATGATGACAGACAATACATTTGTTCTTTCGTTAAGTAATGTACAAAAATAAAATCCCTGCCCTGAATAGTTTGTGATCTTTTACATCAGTCATACAAAGGTATAAGTCTATCAACAGTTCCACCAAAATAAGACCATTCACAGATGTGAAACTAAGCACAACCATTATGTTTTTATAGGTTCTGATTCTTAGGCAGTAAACTCTGAGTTGGCAAGTAAACTGTTCCGGAGCCATTATTTCATTTTTGCACAAAGTCGAGTGCAATGAGAACATTTGGTCTCAAATGTGACTGTTGAAAGGGTATGGTACAGATAACAGATAAAAAGTGGTGGAAGATCATTATCATCGGTAGTATTTAGGGGACAGAAAGGATTTCAAAAAGGATTAAAAGGAGCAAATAGAGGAACATGGTTCATAGTAACAAGGATCCCATATCAAAGACAGTGGGCAGCATGAAGAGAACTCAAAGAAGGGTTGCCAACTCTCTGTAAAAAAAACAAAAAAAACCCCATCTGTAAAAACTAAGAAATGATGAACTTGTTTGAAGATCGGTTGTCAAAACGAGGATGGATGCAAGTACCGATGGACAGAGCACAGCAGCGCCACCTTGTGTCCCAGTGGGAGGACAGCTTGGCACCTTGCAACGAGCTATCAGGGCTTTGCAGCCCATGGGAGCCTCTGTATCCCCCTCTCCCCTGCAAGCCATGTGCTGTTACTGCGTCCCATCAACCACTGTCTGCCTGTAATAGCGGCCCACCTCAAAGGTAGGCAGGACCAGGTGGCTCCAGCCTGTCTGAGGCACCTGGCAGGATAGGGAAGAGGGGAAAATTAAATTTATTTTCCCATGTTTCTGGGTGGGAGCTTGAGCCAGATTCAGAAAGTTGATGTTAAACTCTTATATTTGAACCTGGCCCTTGTTCCGGCCCTCCAGTGCTTAGCAAAAGGGTTACAATATAAAAAAAATATGTCAGTAAAAAGTTTGGTTGTTGGTAAAAAGTTTGCAGATTGTCAGTAAAGAAAAAATTGTCTTGGGTTGGCAACCTTGATTCAAAAACAGGTAGAAAAAAAACAATGACAATTAAAACAGAAATAGAAAACTGGCTGTGGAAAAACCAGCAGCAGAAGTATATGAGAGTCAGGATGCAGAGAACACCGAAAATGAGAAGCTGCAGGGGCTTCATCTCTTCTGCATACAGTTTGATTAGATAATTGGGGAGCCATTCAAAGGGGCGAGAATTAAACCCAGTTATATTTAGCACTGCACTCCTGCTCATTTCCTCTAGCCTAGTGAGTGAGAGAGTCTCAAAAACTGAAGCATTTTTTTTTGATTATACACAAAGGAAGAACTGACAACTTTTTATGTAACAACTGAAATAAGTTATAGGCAACTGTGTGCTTTAAGCATGAAGGGAGATTAATAATTTCAATGCTACCTTCTTACATAAGGAGAAACTCTTTTTCCCTGCTATATTTTAGAATGGCCTGTTCAACATTAATTACAATAATGGGTAAATGTAATGTCTGCACACAAACTTAATTCTGAATTTGCTAAAAAAAAAAAAATAAATAAAAAAGTTGCCGAAAGAATCCTATGCTTTAGGGCTTTAAGATAACCTTACCTTAAGTGTTGTAGTATTCTCATCATCCGACCACTGAGTGAAAAAGGAACAGAAAAGATTAACGGTTTCTTAAACTGTCCTTAACGTAATTTCTATATTATTTAAAAAACACCAAAATCTACATAGTATCACACAGTAAGTAAAACAAATCAAGTCCTCATGCTGGAAAGCTCACAGCATGAAGAGTTTATAGCACAGAGGGTTACTGTAGCTGGAACATGTCACATGTAAAAGATATCAAGTAAGAGGAATAATGGACTGAGAGAGAAAAAAGAGTCTAGGAATCATAGGGCTAGGAAGAGTTACTTGTGCACAAAGCCTTGGGTTCAGCATTATTGCTGTTCTAATGATAGGCTTAAATCGTCATTTTATACCGCTACTAAAATAACAGAGAAATAAGCCAACCTAACGGATTTCTCAGAGCTTGCCACAGAACTGTCCTTGAATAAATCCTACCTCAGTTCCCACCAATCTCAGTTCTTGATCAATGATTCGCTAACTTCACTTGTATTCATGTCTCCTTTGCAACCTTTTCCCCTCTTCGAATACTTATATTGTTTTTCTTTGGATATCTCCAGTTCCTGGAGCATTATTTCTGAACCACTCTCGTTCCTTCCAATTCCCCCAAAATTCATTGCTTTCTATAGACTTTTCAACAGTGATCCTTATTCACTTGTCGGTCTAAAAATCCAATTACTAAAGGAATGAATAAGAGGTGTACTTTGTGAGAAAAGACATAGAAAAACAGTATTTTATGCAAGTCTCCATACTTCTTTGAAGTTATGATGTACTTAACTTTGGTTGTAAGTTCCTCCAGGGAAGAACAGTGTCTTACCCTGTTAAGTGCTATGTGCAGTTTATCAGGGGTATAGGCTGTAGCTGTGTTAGTTTAAGGACTTAGACAGACAAGATTCTTTGGGTAAGTCTGATCTCTTTTATTCGGCCAACTCAAATAGTTGGAAAAATTTCTTCTTTGCAAGCTTCTGGGTACTAATACCCTTTGTCAGGCTGAGGAAGAATCTGCAGTTGGTCTGTACTCTTCCTGGATGGAATGAATATAGCACGCATACCAGTCTCTGGCTTCTTTACTATTCATTCCATCCAGGAAGAGCATAGACCAACTGCAGATTCTTCCTCCGCCTGACAAAGGGTATTAGCTTGCAAATAATACAAAGCTTGCAAAGAAGAAATTTTTCCAACTATTTGAGTTGGTCTAATAAAAGAGATCAGACTTACCCAGAGAATCTATGTACAATCTATGAACTACAAATTCAACCATTACAAATACATTTTGGAAAAGACTTCACATAAAGTACATTTGATGCCAACCTGTATTTCCTCTGCCTCATCTTCACCACTATCTTCCTGGGTATGTGTTGGGGGATCTTCCCTAAAGCAAAAATTGAGCAAACAAGAAATAAATGCATTTCTGAGTCATCAAAGCCCCCCAAAAAGCAGCTACTGCATGTCAGTAGCACAGCTAGATTTTCCCAGCCCAAGTCTACAGCCTTAGTTACAAGATTGCACATCTTCATCAGTGTGTGGTTATCACTTCTGGAACCATTCTAAACTCAGGCAGCAGAATATACTGTGAATGTTCTAGTATAGATTGTTTTATTGTGTCATCATCATAATACACAAACACCTTGCAAAAATTCATCAAATGAGGAAGCTGACAAGTGGATATATTCCCCATCAAAATGCCTAATGGAAAATTTATGCAATTCCAGTTATAGCTGCTGATCCATTCATTTGTTTTTGAAGAAAACTCATGGAAGCATGCCTTGCACATGGAATGGGAGGTGGTGGCAAGGGCTTTTGTAGTTTTAGATCGGGGTGGGCAAAATGCAGCCCAGGGGCCAGATACAGCCTGCCAGGCCATTCTATCCAGCCCACAGGGCCCCTAAAAAATTTAGTAAATTAATATTTATCTGCCCTGGGCTGCCTGTCATGTGGCCCTCAATGGCTTGCCAAAACTCAGTAAGTGGCCCTCTGCCCAAAATAATTGCCCATCACTGTTTTAGATCATGTTGGAATTGCTTCCTCCTGGCTACCTTCTGAGAAAAGCACTCTCTGTACAAATAAGCTTTACAATAGCAGATCCCCCGTGCCTGGGGTGTGGAGTAGGTGATCAAAATCTTCACTGTAGTTTCAGGTGAACCCATGCCATTAACCACCTCAAAAGGTAGTAATAGTCAAGTCCTATCATAAGACTTAATATTTTAGCATAGCAAACAGGACAAACTGAGCATGCTTATAGTATCCCATGCTGCTAAATATACAATACAAGTAAAGAGTAACTTAATTCTTCAAGGAACTAAATCAACAACAGACATGCTATCAATCAAACTACAAGTTCTGAGGACCTAAACTTCATATCCCAGGTATAAAAGTGATAGTGATCATGAGTCACGGTAGATTATACTGCTTTCTAGCTAAGAAAATTAATTTTGCAGAAAAATGGGATTTCATACACAATTCAGGTTTGAGCAGTTTTAAAAATTGTACATCTGAATGCCTCCCCACTGAAGATGGTAAAAACTGCTCATATATACTAGCTGCATAATCAGCCCCTTCAGTTTATGCTTTTCAGAAACCTGTTCCAAACTGAATAGCAACTGCTAAACCAGATTTATATAGTGATGCAGGATTGGAGAAATACTGGCTCCTCCTGTCTGGAATGGCTCAAGGACAACTCATTTCCTATAGAACCTATAGATCCAAATGGAAAAAAATGTAACTTCAGCTTTTCAAAATATTTAATTACAGTGTCTGAATTTTATATTTTCTCATTTCCTAGAAATGAGCCATAACTTCCTGTTCTGTAACTCTGAATCAATATAAGGCTGCAAAGTACTGATCAGGAAATTATACAGTGGAGACTGACTTCTGTAGCTGATTAACAAGACTTATGTATACACTGATCACTTTGCAAAGCAGCAGAGGGGAGGATTCAGGAAGTCTGCCTATTGCTTCTATCTAGAATCCATCTATCTAACCCGTAGAGCATTTGGTATATGCAGATTAAATTTGGTCCATGTCATTTACATTAACTCCCTCCAAACATGGTTCTGTTTAACAGATTATTAACTATGATTAAACATAAGGCAAAACAAGTGGCCACTTGGAGCCTTTTTTGTGGGCTCCTATTCTATACACCATTTGTAATTCATAGCCTACAAAACCCCCCACTTCATTGTGAGTACTGAAGATGAAAACAAATACCTGGTCAAATTTCCCCTTGTCCTGCTTAATGCTTCCTATTGTTTGGGCCCTATAGTTGACACTAAACTTAATGTACTCTCCAGCTTTCTTTTTCCATATACTTTGAATTAAAAAAAACAAACGATTAATCAATTATCCTAGCTGAAACAACAATGAAGGACTGTATGGAAAGGGCATCATGTGCCTCAAAGGAGACAATGTTCCAATTTTTTAAGGGATGCATGTAGCAGTTTTTTTTATTCCCCCCTTCTCACTTCACAGTCTAAAACTGGGCTGCGGAAAAGCAACACTGATTCACAAGAATTTGCTTATTTTTCTAACATGACAGCTACAGTATTCACAGGGAGTCCAAGGCTATGTACAGAGGAATAGATGAAAATTAAGTTATACTCGCATACACACACGTGTATATATGCATAAAACTGAATTTTTATCTATTCCTATGTATTATAGGTATCTATATCTATCTATCTATCTATGTCTAGCTATATATATCTAGACATAGATAGACATGAGACTGACCCTGGTAGAAGACATAATCAAGAACCCTACATGTCCTGCTTGGTCAGGTGGGCCCCTGGTAGAGGACAAATGCATGCTGTATATATATGATCTGCTCAGATACAGGGAATATACAGGATTGGTCAGAAAGTAGTTGCTTGCTGAGGTACATGGGACTGCATCCAGGAGGACTATCTACATAGAAATGCTCAAGAAAATTAATTTGAATCAATTAAAGGCAGCAATTCAAGTAGGTTAATAAAACTACATTCAACCTCTGTCAGAGCAATATTTTCAGAATTAAGTGGCCTTATAGAAAGTCTAGTTAAATTAAATTAAAGACACTTCAATTCTGAAGGACTTTTCAAACAGAAGTTTAATGAATTCTAATCCACTTTAAAAGGTAATTCAGATCAGCTTTCCTGACTGTCTCTCTAGGGTTGAGTCCAAATTTGCACAGGTTGAAGCCCAAAGTTCTTCATAACTTTCACAGAATCGTAGAAACGTAGGGCTGGAAGGGACTCTCGGCGTCATCTGGTCCAACCCCCTGCCTGAGGCAGAATCATTCTTGTCCAAACCATCCTACATAAATCCTCATCTAAGCTATTACCAGAACTACACAGGCAAACCTGTTACACAACCAAAAGACATGGCATACTAACCTGACATAGGTAAAACAGGGGGCCAAAATTATTTGGCCAGGTCCCCCTATCAAGAGGCAAAATCATTCAGGTCATGCATTTTCAACCCCTGAGGTCCACTCTGAATCAGACTGGGTTTTTATAAAGATGTTATGAAACTTCTTGGTCAGGTACCTCTACTAGTTTTGGAGGGACTATTTTTCAACAACTCTTAAATCCTTTCTTTCTAGTTTACTTAATGTATTACCATTGTAAGTACCTTCTACCCCTTTCCATCAGTCCTTCAGCACTAACATATAGAGTGGGAGGGGGCAGCTGGCACTAGACAAATGTATTATTTACTGAACTGAAGAAAAACATACCCAAACAGTATACAAGTGTCTCAGACATGCTTACAACAGCTTTCTACGGACAAGTAAGAAGCACAGAGGGAGAGGGACTTGCCCAAAGCCACATGGGAAGTCATAATAACCAGATACAAGTTTTATTCTTGTATCTCCTGACCTTAACAGCTGCATTTTCTTCCATGTCCAAAACAAGACAAAAGGCTTGAACGTAGGTTTTATTTTTGAAAAGGCTGCAGTTTTTACTTGCTTTAACGTAGGTTTTATTTTTGAAAAGGCTGCAACCAGGCATCTTTTAGCCACGGACACCTATATTGCTAGAGTCAATGCTGAATGAAAAAATGAACATCCTCCCAAACGCGATCAGCACCACAGCTCACGCCGAGGTTAACAGGAGAGCTGCACGTGGCCTATTCTCGTGGGGTGGAGAAAAAAAAAAAAGACGACGGCTTAGACAAAATTATAAAATGTGTTACCTTTGTACTGAAATGTGAATGTAAAAGTTATACAAGAAAAAATGTACAGGCTCAAAAAATGAACGCGTGTTACCTTCCTGAAACTACCAGCGTCCCGTCATCCAGCAAATACTCCTGCACGTTCTGCGGCAGCGGAAGAACGGCGCTGCGGAGAAGGAAGACGCTTAGCGCCGTGAGCTTTACTGCCATAAACTGCGCTCCCACAACGTTTCATGCCGGCTGGCCGCCCGCAAAGTGGCCACGATCCCCCTTGTCCCTTCCCAGCCCACCACCAAAATATCCTGCTTCCTATGACATGTGGACAGGGACAACACGTGTAAAATGTGCACTGCCCATAAGGCTGAGGGGGGTT